CATAGTCCGGTGTCACTGAGCTGTATACCACACATCGACCCGTGTCACTGAGCTGTATACCACACAAAGACCCGTGTCACTGAACTGTATTCCACACATAGACCCGTGTCACTGAGCTATGTACCAAACACACGAACGCTATTCACATATGTCAAAATCTGGGACTGAAACCAAATTAATAGTCCCCGATATTGGGTTCACCCAAGGATGACTATCAAGTAAATAATAACCCACTCGTGTTAGAGATAAATGTTTGGCAATGTAGAAGACAATGCGTGGACATAAATAGATCTGTTTCGTGTATAGCGCTGATAATCCCGTGTAACTGAGCTGTATTTTACTGATAGGTTTGGTTTGGTTTAGTATTGTTTAACGTCCAATCATGATCAACAGCTATGGTAATTTAAGGACGGCCACTGAAAGGCCCGTGTTACTGAGCTGTATACCACTGACAGGCCCGTGTCACTGAACTGTATACCACTGATAATCCCGTGTTACTGAGATTTATACCACTGATAGGCCTGTGCCACTGAGCTGTATACCACTGATAATCCCCCGTCACTGAGCTGTATACCACTGACAGGCCCGTGTCACTGAGCTGTATACCACACATAGACCCGTGTCACTGAACTGTATACCAAACATAGACCCGTGTCACTGACTTGTATACCACACATAGACCCGTGTCACTGAGCTGTGTACCACACATAGACCCGAATCACTGAGCTGTATACCACACATAGACCCGTATCACTGAGCTGTGTACCACACATAGTCCGGTGTCACTGAGCTGTATACCACACATCGACCCGTGTCACTGAGCTGTATACCACACAAAGACCCGTGTCACTGAACTGTATTCCACACATAGACCCGTGTCACTGAGCTATGTACCAAACACACGAACGCTATTCACATATGTCAAAATCTGGGACTGAAACCAAATTAATAGTCCCCGATATTGGGTTCACCCAAGGATGACTATCAAGTAAATAATAACCCACTCGTGTTAGAGATAAATGTTTGGCAATGTAGAAGACAATGCGTGGACATAAATAGATCTGTTTCGTGTATAGCGCTGATAATCCCGTGTAACTGAGCTGTATTTTACTGATAGGTTTGGTTTGGTTTAGTATTGTTTAACGTCCAATCATGATCAACAGCTATGGTAATTTAAGGACGGCCACTGAAAGGCCCGTGTTACTGAGCTGTATACCACTGACAGGCCCGTGTCACTGAACTGTATACCACTGATAATCCCGTGTTACTGAGATTTATACCACTGATAGGCCTGTGCCACTGAGCTGTATACCACTGATAATCCCGTGTCACTGAGCTGTATACCACTGACAGGCCCGTGTCACTGAGCTGTATACCACACATAGACCCGTGTCACTGAGATGTAAACCACTCATAGGCCGGTACCAATCAGCAGTATACCACTGATAATCCCGTGTCACTGAGCTGTATACCACACATAGACCCGTGTCACTGAGCTATATACCACTGATAATCCCGTGTCACTGAGCTGTATACCACTGATGATTCCATGTCACTGAGCTGTATACCACACATAGACCCGTATCACTGAAATGTGTACCACTGATAATCCTGTGTCACTGAGCTGTATACCACACATAGACCCGTGTCACTGAGCTGTATACCACACATAGACCCGTGTCACTGAGCTGTATACCACACAAAGACCCGTGTCACTGAACTGTATATCTTACATAGACCCGTGTCACAGAACTGTATACCACACATAGATCCGTGTCACTGACTTGTATACCACACATAGACCCATGTCACTGAGCTGTATACCACACATAGACCCGTGTCACTGAGCTGTGTACCACACATAGACCCGTGTCACTGAACTGTATGCCAAACATAGACCCGTGTCACTGAGCTGTGTACCACACACAGACCCGTGTCACTGAGCTGTATACCACACATAGACCGGTGTCACTGAGCTGTATACCACACATAGACCCGTGTCACTGAACTGTATGCCACACATAGACCCGTGTCACTGAGCTGTGTACCACACACAGACCCGTGTCACTGAGCTGTATACCACACAAAGACCCGTGTCACTGGACTGTGTTCCACACATAGACCCGGGTCACTGAGCTATGTACCACACATAGACCCGTGTCACTGAACTGTATACCAAACATAGACCCGTGTCACTGACCTGTATACCACACATAGACCCGTGTCACTGAGCTGTATACCAAACATAGACCCGTGTCCCTGACTTGTATACCACACATTGCCCCGTGTCACTGAGCTGTGTACCACACATAGACCGGTGTCACTGAGCTGTATCCCACACATCGACCCGTGTCACTGAGCTGTATACCACACAAAGACCCGTGTCACTGGACTGTATTCCACACATAGACCCGTGTCACTGAGCTATGTACCACACATAGACCCGTGTCACTGAACTGTATGCCAAACATAGACCCGTGTCACTGAGCTGTGTACCACACATAGACCCGTGTCACTGAGCTGTGTACCATACATAGACCGGTGTCACTGAGCTGCATACCACACATAGACCCGTGTCACTGAGCTGTGTCCCACACATAGACCGGTGTCACTGAGCTGTATACCACACATAGACCCGTGTCACTGAACTGTGAATGCGTTTTAGGTCAAGTTTAATGTTTCAATAGGTGGCGACAATCATTTACGCTCGAGTAACCTGAATATATATGTTGAGTGAATATATTGAGTCTATATATTTATATTCGTATATGTATATGTATATCAGGTTGATGTAAAATGACACTGTAATACACCATTACAAATACAGTATATATATAAAAACTCAAACGTGTCATTTCTACGGTGGTACATTTAGGACAACACAATATCATATTCTACATTAATAATCTCAAACGTTCGACATAATAGATCGAGCGCTCGAGATAATTAATGTAAAAAATAATATTGTGTTGTCCTAAATGTACCACCGTTCATTTCCCTTTTTATAATTAAATAACAGTAAAAATGATAATTTGTTCACCGAATCTAGTATATAAACTCCAAAGTGTCATTTCCCTTCTTTAAATATAAACAACAGTAAAATTCAATAACCGGTGGACCGAATATAAACATAGTTCATAATATAGTCATAGTAATCCCCCTCCTCAACAGGGCGTTGGTGACCTTGGGGTTATTACATACGCCTTTCCCGTAGGGTTTCTGTGTAGGAAGAAATAGTCAGAAGGTAAAATGTTGGCCAGTTTAAACCCCTTTGTCACGTCTCTATGGACCCTGAGGACGGGAACCAAATAATTCAAAAAATTTGGTTCATCTCCGTAAATGATTTTTCCGCAAAATTGTATAATAATTAGTTAGGTTATTTGGTAAAATTCGAAAATATGAATTGCTTTCGGACGGACAGACGACGCCAGAAGACACACTGAAGTTTTTTAATCCTTTTTTCCCCTCTGAATCGAAGATTCGGCAACAGAACAATAAATAAATGCATTGATTGAAAAATGACAAAGTAAAGTACATGCTTTATAACAATATACATATAACTGAAATTCAAACGATAAATTGTATTGCAAAGTACGGGATACTCCGGAGTTCACTCCCCTTTGTGTCTCTACGCTCACTAGCTTATCTTAAGTTAGTGAAGAGTAGAGATGACCATCATACGAGATACAGAAAAAGGAAGAATGTTACAATTGATACATTATGAAGATAATTTATAAGTTAATATTTTAGATGAATTATTTGATAATTTACTGATGTACATGTATGTTCAATAGTGAATGGCTCATTTTATAGAGCTGACAATTGTTTAAGGTGTGCTTATTTTAAGCATGACTTGTGTATTTATGTATGTATTATGCAAGGAGTTGAGACGTAAAATGATAACTTACAGGAGTGCTTGGTTGTTCCCATGTTTCACATCAATGATCAAACCATGCCTGCTATACTACCATTCTACGTTTTTACTGTTCTAAGTGATTCTTATATAGAAAGAAACAGCATATTACCTAGACTCACCTAGCACACGCCAAATATTTATTTTTCTATTCCTTTTAAATGTACTGGAAGTTTGATCCTTTCACTACACTGGAAAACTCTTCCAATGTCCCGCGTGAAAAGCGACCGTTTCTAAAGCGAGCGAAACCTGCTTCTCTAGGACACTATCAGCTCAATTACCCATTAAGTACACAGTAGCACATCATGCATTCAAATATTAATTACATATATTCTTGAAAAATTTAGGTAGGTTTAGAACAATATAGGGCCATTAAGCGACTGGTATAGCAGGGAGACTCAGCACAACTAGTATGTGCTAAATTTAACAACAACAAATAGCTAAAATCTATTCAAGAACAGGTTTAACTAACCAATCGTTTAAATGTTCCTCTGAACTGGTAAAAGCCCCTGTGTGGATTTAGTTACGCTTCGGTGCGGTTCCATTTTCCTCACAATGGAGAGCTTTACTTTAAAATCTCCGATAATCTTAACACATGCATGCCTTAGCTTGTATAGCACCGACCGAAGTTGCCCGACAGGTCAATACTATGACAAACCTCTTGTCATACGGCCAACATTGAAATTATCAATGACGAATGTTTATTCTAATTCTAACTATAAGTCTAACACAGTGCCTCCGCCTTGGTATCCCTGTAAAGAGGCATGTTTATTTTATAAATAAAACGGGATATGTTTTCTATTTGAAGTATGTAACGGTCATCTTCGTTACCGAATATCCTCGTATATTCCATCCAAGGGGTGGCATGTTTTACCGAACGTTGATCTGAACCCCTACGACGTCTAATATTACCATGAAAATATCGTTTCAAGAAAAACGTAGATAAACTATCAGGATCATGTGCTCGTCACGCTCCCTTAATTTGATTTTTAACCGATCGTGTGGATTACCGCGTGCAGATAGTTCCGACCGTCTCTACCAACAAGGGACGTATAACAATTTGTTGATGTAAATAAACAAAACTTACCGTGTAGGAACTATTGGGTCAGTGTTGGTTAAAATCCATTTTCAAAACTGTTCTTGACCTCAAAACGCTCTCTGTAACACAGACCGCTGAACAGTATACGGTGTTGAGAGGTACCGACCCGACCCGTATACGTATGTGTTTATAAATAGCACTGGAGCGTGAGTGTGAGTGTTCCACGTGTCAATTATGGTAGGAGTCATAACATTAAACTCTGTCTTCACAACGCGGTTCACAGAATTTAATTTTCGTGTACATGAATGGTTTGGAGATATGATGTCCCAGACGGAATCTCGCCTTATCGTTATCAACAATTGATGGACTGAAACAATCAGAACGTACACCAATATAATTATGTTCAAATCATATTTCATTTTAAATTACACTGTCTTTACAACATGGGTCTGAGACATGGACAATGATACATTCGACTTGGTTAATAGATTGACGTAGTAGATTCTGTGGTGTATTTGAAGTATTTAACGGTCATCTTCGTTACCGAATATTCTCGTATATTCCATCGAAGGGGTGGCATGTTTTACCGAACGTTGATCTGAACCCTACGACGTCTAATATTACCATGAACAAACTATCGGGATCATGTGCTCGTTACGCCCCCTTAATTTCAGGCACATTTTTTTGACCGATCGTGTGGAGTACTACCACGTGCTGATAGTTCCGACCGTCACGTATAACGATTTGTTGATGTGGGTTGACTGCGATGTAGTATTTACTTATAATGTCCTATTTTATCCACTTTTAGTAAATATTTGAACTCAACACTAATATGTACAGTCTGTGACTGTGACACCAGAGATGTTGAACACGACACCATGTTTGTAAACGGGTCTCTATTGACCGTGTAGAAATCTGTTGATCAAACAGTACAAACACTTGAAATAAAATATATATATCCGATACGAGTCTATAGTCCTATAGCATCACCGACACTATCCTACCATAATTATAACAGAAAAAAGTCGTTTTTCTCATAGGAACATGTCACATGCTACATATATGAAAACATGTACCGTGACGTCGATTTAGTAGTTAATAAAGGAAAAATTGATGGCAAAGGTAATTATAGAATAAAATAAGTAAACAATACTGACCACTTATACTTGTACATTTTAATATGCGCCTCCTAGTGATAGTTCAATTTAGGACTCCATCGGGTCTTTAACCCTGGCTTTTCTGTTTCAGAAAACAGAAAATAATATTTCATATATATATACCATAAATAAACAAAACTTACCGTGTAGGAACTATTGGGTCAGTGTTTGTTAAAATCCACTTTCAAAACTGTCCGTGACCTCAAAACGCTTCTCTGTAACACAGACCGCTGAACAGTATACGGTGTTGTCAGGTGCCGACCCGTATACGTATGTGTTTATAAATAGCCTTAGAGCGTGGGTGCGAGTGTTCCACGGGTGATTACGACACCCGTGTCTATTATGGTAGGAGTCATAACATTAAACTCTGTCTTCACAACGCGGTCCACAGAAGTTAATATTGGTGTACATGTATGGTTTGGAGATATGATGTCCCAGACGGAATCTCGCCTTATCGTTATTAACAATTGATGGACTGAAACAATCAGAACGTACACCAATATCATTATGTTCAAATCATATTTCATTTTAAATTACATTCTCTTTACAACATGGGTCTGTCAGACATGGAAAATGATACATTCGACTTGGTTCATAGATGACGTAGTAGATACTGTGGTGTAACTAAGATTAAGGGGTGTAGGGTTATGAAGTAGGAAGAAAAGCAGTATTCATTGTTTGCAGATGACGAATCGTAGTGTAACATTCGATAGTAAGTCTCTGTTACAACACAGGTAAGTCGTTATAACAACACACCAATGTTGTTATACAGACCCTAGATCGTCAGTCCCTGTAACAAAACGGTTAAGTCATTATAACAACACAACAATGTCGTTATACAGACTCTAGATCGTCAGTCTCTGTTACAACATAGGTAAGTCGTTATAACAACATAACGATGTCGTTATTCCGACTCTAGATAGTCAGTCTCTGGATGACACTGAGTACAAAATACAAAAAGTATCGAAAAAATACACTTACAGTTTTGTAAGGAAATTCTTAACATTCGGAAGAGCACCCCAAATTATATGGTATTTGGTGTTTTAGGAAGGTATCCTCTAGAAATTGAAATCAGTGTTAGAATGGTTATGTTCTGGCATAAGCTTATAACGGGTGGATCGAAATTATCTAGTGTAATGTATAAGTTAATGTACAATTTGCACCAGAATTCTTTATTAAGTTTTAAATGGTTAACGTATATACGAGATATCTTAAACAATACTGGATTTAATAATTTATGGACTTTCCAAATATCATGCACAATTAATAGACAATGCTTGAAAAATATCATTAAGCAGAGATTATGCGATCAATTCATTCAAAGTTGGTTTCATGATGTTGAAACCTCCTCGCGTGGGCAAGTTTACTCCTTATTCAAATTTCAGTTTAATATTGAACCATATCTTTTAAAGCTAAATCGTAATGAACGAAAAGTAATATGTAAATTTAGAACATCAAATATAAAATTTCCTATAGAACTGGAAGATGGAATCGAGTCCCACGCGAGGAAAGGTTATGTCCCCTATGTAATAACTGTGTTGGGGACGAATACCACTACTTATACCAATGTACTAATGTATCTGTTGTAGCTCTTAGACAACTTTATATACCAAATTATTATTATGTCAACCCAACTTATATCAAAATGAAAGGAATGTTCTCAATTTGTAACACGGTACTCTTAACAAAAGTAAGTAAATTTATACAAAGAGAAATGAAGCTACTTAATATCTAAAATAATTTAGCTAAAAGAATTATTGAAATGGGTTGTTATTGTATGAATTGTATCATGTGTTATATTATATTATGTGAGTACTATGTCCATCAATGTATACTATGTATTATGTGACCTCTTGTTACGCACGTGTGGCGTGAGTGTAAAAATAAAACTTGAAACTTGACTTGAGTAATTGTATGATTACACGGACTAATAGTGTGATGACAGGAATAATTGTGTGATTACACTGAATAATAGTATGATGACAGGAATAATTGTGTGATTACACTGAATAATAGTATGATGACAGGAATAATAGTGTTATTACACTGAATAATAGTATGATGACAAGAATAATATTGTGATTACACTGAATAATAGGTTGATGACACTGAATAATTGTGTGATTACACGGAATAATAGCGTGATTACACTGAATAATAGCATATGATAAATATGTTTAATATTTTGTAAATAGTAACGTCATCATTATTTCGAAAACAACGAGATACAAATTGTTGAAACGATGAAACAAGGAATGAAGCTGCTACAGCGCAGACAATGATCTTTTAAAAATAGTAACAGTGACCTTGACCAGACAACCATGTAGCAATATATCTACAAACTAGTTAGTCACAGCTGCTGTCGCATTGGAAAGCTATCTATAAACTCGTTAGGCACAGCTGCTGACGGCTACTTTAGTATAAGTAAACATTTTCTTTCACTTGGAGACTTTCCATTGAGACAAAGAAAACACGAAGCCTACTTTATCAAGGACAGTTATCAAATAGTCGTTCAACTAGTCGCGAGCAAGAAACTACGCAATGATGGACAAGGGGAGAAAACTCTTACACACACACTTTAGAGTATTGGAATAGGAGGCGTAGTAATTATTCACTGATTAAAAACGCCACTGTTAAAGATCTTTACATCTTTCTTCGATTTTTTTGTCTAATACAGTTATATTGTACCATATTGTAGCATTGATCATATCATGAAATAATGAACACATTATCTGAAAACCTTTCGCGGAAGGAGATAGAGTGGGGTTTTTTTTTGTGAAGAAATGATTCGGTCCAAAAAGCGTAGTAATCTGAGAATGATTAAGTTCATGATGCTCACTGAAAAAACTCGCCTTTTCATAAAATTTTAACATTTTTTCTTTGGTTTATTGATCATTTTCATACGTATTTCATAATTTTACAGCATTAATCATACCATGAAATAATCAACTTAGCATTTACAGATCTTCCGCGGAAGAAGAAAGTCTGTTCTTTGGTTTTGCTTTGCCCAGGCTTGGCGAGGACCGCTATGAATGCTGTACACAGCATCCAACAATCTATTTTATGGTTTATTTGCTCAATTTCAATCAGATACCTTCTTTATTCGTGTAGTGTTTCAACTGATTGTTTTTCGAATTTAACTCACGGAGACTCAATAACAGATCCACAACTCCAACTTGGTGTATTGTGTTTAAATATGTGTTTACAAAATGTAAGCATCCGCGATCATATATAGATAATATACAAATTTGAAGTGCTTCCAGGTCAAAAACGCCAAACTGCCAATAGCCGTAGCCAAGGCGACGCCACCTGCGGCTCCGATTTCTATCATCAGTTCCGGTCGTTGAAGAATACTGGCGGAAGACACGCCTGACGATGATACTGCCTCAGCGGCCTGCAACGATCACTGTCCCCATAGAGACTGTTGACAAGGTTGGACTTTCTTTATCGGTGGCGGATATATTAAAATGAAATGTCTGGCCTGATTAGGCAATCAATGATTGCTTAAGGATTACCTCCCCTGTCTGTGAAATTGTGACTAAATCAGGCATTGAACTAGAAGGAATTATCCCGAATTCAACTTCACTGTGTATTCCACTGTCAGCGTCGGAACAGATGACGGTGAAAAGTGTTGAACCCATTTGAACAGTTTCATTTGCACCTTTCACGTATAGATTTGAACTGAGTACTGGCGTATTATCATTGGCGTCCTCTATCGTGATCGTCAATACTGTGGTTGCTGTCAACATTGTTGAATCTGTCGCCTGTATGCGGGCACGTCCACGCCGTACGTAGTCCACGTTGAAGTATACAATACCGGACGAAGACATGGTCAAGGAGTTGTCAGCATTACCGGACACGATCGAAATTGAAAGTGTGTCACCTGCGTCCTCATCAGTCATGGAAAAACCATCAAATACCAGCGTTCCATTCTGTAATCGAAGCAAAAAAGGAATGAAAAGGTACTGCATTCAAGATGATAGTTGATTTGAGCTTATTTCCGATTATTCTAACGCCAAACAATGCCTTTGATATTTGTGACTAGATCTGGTCCAAAAGCTATCATCATTATCATCATTATCCTCGATACTCCAGGGGTAACGCTCACTGTCGCTCTCTACACCCCTGGCATATGTCACAGCAAAATTGAAGGCACGAAAATAGCTGTTTGATTGGTCTAAGGTAAAAGAAAATGACCAATCGCTAGGCTGATACCTGTCCTTTGAAGATTACAAAGGAGAGACGCCCGACTTCAAAGCCGGTCAATTGTTACCGTTACGTGACCGCGAGATTCTTTTGATGTGTATCAAAGGATCGAACTAGTCTTCTTGTCTCATCAACAAGGTGGCGCACACCGATCCTTCAATTTCGCTATGACATATTCCAGGGGTGTAGAGAGCGAAAGTGAGCGTAACCCCTGGATATCGAGGATGCATCATCATCATCATCATCATCATCATCATCATCATCATCACACATGATTCATCATCATCATCATCATTATCATCATCATCATCATCATCATCATGATTTAATATCATCATCATACATTCGTAGAGTCTTGCACACACAGGCTATAGAACAACAACAGAACAGGACTAAATACGAAAGTAATAAGAGAAAGAGAGAGCCATAGAAGAAAGGATGTGAGAGTGAAACAAAGAAAGGGAGACAGACAAAGAGAGACAACTAGAATATGTAGTAATTAAAGCGAAGGAAGATTAACCAGTATTAACGAAATGTTTTTCTCCGCAGATATTCTTAAATCTATTTTCAAAGTAGTCCAGAATTCTCGTCTTTCAGAGTGACGTCGTTTTAATTTTTATTATTTAGGAAGGTAAGATAATTATGTATGTCTTCGAAATATGAAAAAGGTTCTTCTATGATGTACACTGACGCACAGTAAATGGTGTAGGCTTTAATATCTAAATATATATAACCATTTAACCAAGCATTTACAAGATCTAGGAATGTACACATACACCATTTTCTGTGACAGTAGTATTGTGTTGCCCGGACGAGATACCAGGCGGCTCCGAAACGTCTTCGACATTTATCTGCAGGAGAACACTGTCCGAACCCTCGGTCCCATCATTGACGATAACAGTTAAGTTGTACCCGGAAACAGTTTCGTAATCCAGTGATGCAGCTAAAGTCACATTCAAAATATAACCTGTAAAATTAAATGACATTTTCAGTACATTATATTTTATGTGGCCAATGATTGCATCTTACGTAATTAAAAAAACACCCACACAGTTATATACGTAAGTAGCGTCATAATATTGGCCATTGCATCATATATTGTTGTTTTATACGGCTTTGTCATTGTGCTATAACGTCAATGGCGCCGTTGTTTGTGGCTATGTCTCGTGGCTATTTTATAGCAAGCTTCTCTTGTTATACTGATATGTCACATGGCTATCACGTGACAGGCCGCCATTGTATGTTGCTATATCACGTGGCTATTACGTCACTGATCATTGTTATAAACAGTTCCATTATGGCTTGCCAATAACATTTACCATAAAGTGGATGGTTAGTATTTGGTTCTGATCTAAAAGCAACAACGTCAGAAGTTTACTAGAGAACACATTTTGTACAAGATTTAACAGTAACAAGCATTTACAAAACTTTAGTTTAAACATATTTTATTGCCAAGCAAAAGGATTGGGCACAAGTTATCAAACTTATATTAAGTCCTTTCCCAGCACATTACAAGCATATATTTACAATAGTACAACAATTTGGCAGAATTAATATACATATATACACTGTTTCATTTTTAAATGCTTTATTTTATAAATTGAAATTATAAGAGAGACAGAGAGAGAAAAGGGGGAGGGGGAAGAGAGAGGGGGGATAATAGTCTGTAATTATAATACATACATCCTCATCATTATTAATGTATGACATATAGTATCTTNGGGGGGGGAGGGGGTACTAGAATCTGTTAGAGTCACGAATGTATTGCTGAGTATACATTGACAAAACTTGCTAGTTCTCTAGATCAATTTAAGACGCAGTTACAAAACACTCGCCTGATTTGGATATATTAAATGTTGTATAGGCAAATGTGGGATGATACAGAACTCTGTAGTCCAAACTATCACCATCCTATAGCGTGCGATTCCTGGACAGTGATCATGGCGGGAACAGTTATACTTGGTTTCGTGTTTCGTATAAACATCGGTATCACTATAGCTACCGTATTCGTTCGTAGCTCGGCAGATCCTCCAGAGATTTTGGACGACACGGAATTCTGGCTGTAGTACAACACACCATTGGACGAGTTGATGGTAAAGAATGAACTATGGTTACCAGGTACAATACTGTAGGTGATCACTGCACTACCGCTAGGCTCAGTCGCCGCGTAGGGAGGGGTCGGCAACGCCTCTCCGACCTGAAATGTGATGCCAGATACTATCTATCAATAACATTGTTATTCATTCTCTGGAGTCTTCCATGCCATACTCAAGTCTACAATTCATTTTGCAGAACAAGTAAACAGATTGCTTTTGTATACATATCGAGTCAGGATTATTAATATGCATGATCTATTTATTTACGCACGATACAGACCTTGCATCAAATGTTCATTTTTTGTTTTTATTGTTAATGTAGTAAATGACAAGAGCAGTTCATCACAACATCCGTTTACGTTTAGTCTAGCAGTTTCTCGCAACTACGTGTTGGTGTATGGAATGTTTTGTTGCAGTATTTAAACTGTTTTACTAATTTATGTAGTTGCACGATATTATTATGTTCATTATTGTTGTGTTGTTTCATTAAACTAAAACGGTAACTGCATACTATGTTTATCAGGGACTTTATACAGTTTTTAGACTTTTTATGTTCATATATAGTTAATATTGCTAACGTTATATTTTAAAGGGTGTAATATCTTGCAATATCTGTTACTTGGAATCTACAAGAAATATTTACGTTTTTCTACAGATAGTATTAAGTAGATTGACTATTAACATCTTTGGGCGAAATATAAATTGTTCCGTTAACAACAACGCAAGATTTTAACGACACAATATTACATCAGTATACAGTGTTTCGTACAAAAAAAAAACAATTTCAATGCTGCATTTAAATGGTGGTTAGCAGTGCTTTCGCGTCATAGCTTTGTATCTTGCAGTTATGCCATTTTCCATTTTTTAGTGACGTATGAAGTCACGTGACCAGTACAATGGAGAGTAGTACAAGGAACAACGGGAAAGTGTTACTGGTGATTCCACGTTTTGAGAAAATATCTGACAAATAGATATGAGCATTTTTTCCACCAATAAACGCAGCATATTAGTATAACAAATACTTCATTCACTTGTCTTGATGAAATCGATCTTTTGTGACCATGAAATGATATACATTACATTTTGATAGATATGTCAACTAAGTATTATTTCATTGTTCAAACCGCTTAATGAAAGTACAATATCATTTTCAACAATCGATAAACAGAAGGTGAACATACTCAAGGATATTATATTTTCTATCCACGATTTAAGTCTTCTGGGACCAATTGTACAACCATTTCAAAATCGAGTAAAAGTCCCAAGCAGTGTATGTTAGACTTTAGACAATTTGAGACTTTGGGATTGAGACTTTAGGAAATTTGAGACTTTAGGAAATCTCAAGAGTTGAGTTGTTTTATACAAAGGGACTGTTTAGGGGACATCGACATAAATTTCAACAATTTGGACCGATTTTCTACAGAAAATGTGTGTACCTTTCGAGCGTACCATTTGCTTCGCAGTGTCTCCAAGGCAACCGTCTTTTTACACAAAATAATTAAATCAGCTAGTAATACCTCAATCACTTTTTCGTCTTTATCAGTGTTAACCTTTAAAATGTTCTAAATATAATAAATTTAAACAGACCCCAATATTACATCCCTAATGGAATCGTGCACAAGCAGTACTTCTTAAAACAGCGTTTTGTCTTGTCCACGTATTCTTTGAAAAAAATCACAGAAATACTGTTTTGTATTCAACTGAGCTTGACGTCATGCAATGTTGCACGCTTCACGTTTGAACTGTTTGCTATCTATCACGTAATAGTATTAACAAATAGTTACAACGAAACATTACCGATTATGGAATTGGTGTTGTACTCAAATCTTCTATTTTTATAAGTTGAAATATACCGCATATTTCAATCGAGTCAAAGAGACATACATAGAACGAGAGTCTTAGCATCCAAAACTGACCATCTTATCAACTGTTGCTGTCATCGAGTGCGTGGTTTCGGTAGGCAGTTAACAATAAATAATTAGATGACTTGTTATAGTGTGATTAAAAAAGAGGAATACTTTATAGAACTGTTATACATACCAGCATCTGTCAAATTGAACAAATTCATCCCAGACAGTGATTGAATACTAGATGCCAAGGAAAACGACAACACGCCTTCAATATCAGTGTCACTTCCGTTGTTATTGAAAATGTTTTTACCGACAACAGTTGATTCCGGGATTGCCAGGGTGAATGGTAAATTCACAAAGAAAGGCGATGTATTGATATCTAAAGTAAACATCTTCAACATTTTATCGACAAAAAACATTTTTAATGTAGATAGTGAAGCGAATGGAGTGTTAACTATCACGAATTGGCTGAAGATGTGATTTCGGTAAGAAAAAGAACAAAGCCTTGACCAGGTATGGTGTGTTTGGTTGTGAAGTAATGACGTTACCTATAATAGGTATGATGTGTTTACATGACGTCACCTATAACAAGTATGGTGTGTTTGGTTGTGAAGTCATGACGTTGCCTATACCAGGTATGATGTGTTTGGTTGTGAAGTCATGACGTTACCTATAATAGGTATGATGTCTTAACATGACGTCACCTATAACAAGTATGATGTGTTTGGTTGTGAAGTAATGACGTTGCCTATAATAGGTATGATGTGTTTACATGACGTCACCTATAACAAGTATGATGTGTTTGGTTGTGAAGTAATGACGTTGCCTATAATAGGTATGATGTGTTTACATGACGTCACCTATAACAAGGATGGTGTGTTTGGTTGTGAAGTCATGACGTTGCCTATACCACGTATGATGTGGTTGGTTGTGAAGACATGACGTTACCTATAATAGATATGATGTGTGTGCATGACGTCACCTATAACAAGTATGATGTGTTTGGTTGTGACGTCATGACGCTACCTATAATAGGTATGATGTGTTTACATGACGTCGCCTATAACAAGTATGGTGTGTTTGGTTGTGAAGTCATGACGTTGCCTATACCACGTATGATGTGTTTGGTTGTGAAGACATGACGTTACCTATAATAGGTATGATGTCTTAACATGACGTCACCTATAACAAGTATGATGTATTTGGTTGTGAAGTCATGACGTTGCCTATAATAGGTATGATGTGTTTACATGAGGTCACCTATAACAAGTATGGTGTGTTTGGTTGTGAAGTCATGACGCTACCTATAATAGGTATGATGTGTTTACATGACGTCACCTATAACAAGTATGGTGTGTTTGGTTGTTAAGTCATGACGTTACCTATAATAGGTATGATGTGATTACATGACGTCATCTATAACAAATATGGTGTGTTTGGTTGTGAAGTCATGATGTTGCCTATAATAGGTATGATGTGTGTGCATGACGTCACCTATAACAAGTATGGTGTGTTTGGTTGTGAAGTCATGACTCTACCTATAACAGGCAAGGTGTGTTTACGTTACGTTACCTATAACAGGTACGTTGTGTTTACGTTACGTTACCTATAACAGGTACGTTGTGTTTACGTTACGTTACCTATAACATGTTTCGTGTGTTTGATTAGACGTAATTTTACCTGTAACGTTTATTGTGAGTTTCTCTGGACCTGTTGTTGTTTTCCTGTCAGAGACGAACACCAAAAGTTCATATGACGTATGGTTCGAATATTTCAGTCCGGCTGTTGTAAAACGTCATCCATCTTAAAAATACAATGTAAATAAAAACAGTTTTCAAACAATGCTTTTATGATATAATGTGTTGCCCAGGTTTACATTATTTAGAAAAGTTCTTGCCAGAGGGCAAAGACGTGGATAAATGTTCGTCATATACTTTAAAGGCAACATCCCAACATTCTTTTCAAAATTTGATTAATTCACAACAAATGTGTATCTTTAGTTTAAAAGGATAAACCTTTCTACATTTTGAATATGGTGTACAAGAAGACTATGTTCTAGTTGAACACGTCTTTTATGAAACATATTGTTACAGTACATTTATATACAGAATTGATTAATAGGATTTACAATGAAACTCGTCATATATATGATAACAGTATGTTAACTGTGCTGACAGTCTACGTATTTTACTGATGCACACAAATAATGTAATAGTATAGCAAAACAATCTAATAGTATAGCAAAATAATGTAATAGCATAGCAAAACAATGTAATAGTATAGCAAAAATAATGTAATATTATAGCAAAACAATGTAACAGTATAGCAAAACAATGTAATAGTATAGCAAAATAATGTTCTATTATAGCAAAACAATGTAACAGTATAGCAAAACAATGTAATAGTATAGCAAAACAATGTAATAGTATAGCAAAATAATGTTCTATTATAGCAAAACAATGTAATATTATAGCAAAACAATGTAATAGTATAGCAAAACAATGTAATAGTATAGCAAAATAATGTTCTATTATAGCAAAACAATGTAATATTATAGCAAAACAATGTAATAGTATAGCAAAACAATGTAATAGTATAGCAAAATAATGTAATATTATAGCAAAACAATGTAACAGTATAGCAAAACAATGTAATAGTATAGCAAAACAATGTAATAGTATAGCAAAATAATAGCAAAACAATGTAATAGTATAGCAAAATGATGTAATATTATAGCAAAACAATGTAACAGTATAGCAAAATAATGTAATAGCATAGCAAAACAATGTAAGGGTATAGCAAAATAATGTAATATTAAAGCAAAACAATGTAACAGTATAGCAAAACAATGTAATAGTATAGCAAAACAATGTAATAGAATAGCAAAATAATGTTCTATTATAGCAAAACAATGTAATAGTATAGCAAAACAATGTGATATTATAGCAAAATAATCTAATATTATAGCAAAACAATGTAATAGTATAGCAAAACAATGTAATAGTATAGCAAAATAATGTAATAGTATAGCAAAATAATAGCAAAACAATGTAATAGTATAGCAAAATAATGTAAAAGTATAGCAAAATAATGTAATAGTATAGCAAAACAATGTTCTATTATAGCAAAATGATGTACTAGTATAGCAAAATAATGTAAAAGTATAGCAAAACAATGTAATAATATAGCAAAATAATGTAATAGTATAGCAAAATAATGTAATAGTATTGCAAAATAATGTAAAAGTATATCAAAACAAAACTGTGATCTCTAAGCTACATTTGTTTTTTACTTATTTCCGTAGGAGAGTGGAACTCATTTCCTTTTTGACTCGTCTATATCTGTTAAATGTATTTTGAGTTTCCATTTTGTTTTAGTATTTTGACGAAATAGACTGTATGTTAATGATTATCTTCTGTTGATCTTTACATATATTTGTATATGTTGTGACAAAAACATAAATACATGTATATTTACTAAGGAATGTTCTGATGCTATTATATATAATAACATTAATAATAATTTGAGGTTCTTATATACCGCTTTATCACAACCTAGTTCATAGGTCGTTTCAAAGCGGTTCACAAATTATCATCCGTGGTTATACGGCCTTTGCAGCCAGTCAATATCTTTCTCAACCCTCTGGGGAGCATACAGCCGTTGCTGCCATTTCGGCGCTCACAGCTATCATTCAACAATTCTAGAACTGCCCAACCACGTACTCATTTACAACTGAGTAGACTGGAACAAGCGGAGTAAAGTATCTTGCTCAAAGATACAACACAGTGCAGTGCCGTGACGCGAACCCGCAACCCTTCGGTCTCGAGCCCGGTGTCGTACAGCTAGACTACCGTGCCTTTAATATATAACATTTAAATTAACAACAAAAAAAACACTTTTAAAAAAGACATAATTTCGATTTGTCATTTGATGACAATTATGATGATTTCATGTTGAACGAATGTATTAGAGCTTTGCTTCTCACCTGGTTGTAAAGTAAAGGGCCACGCAGAACACGTCCTAGCAAATGTCAATACACTGCTGTCTACGTCAGGGGGGTCACTTGCTGTGATGTTGTACACATTTACTGATGACGCAGTAAACTTGGCTGACACAACCACCACTCCTAAAATAGAAAAATATGTTTAAAAAAATATAATGTCTTAAGTTATTCCTTGCAATCAAATATAGTTCTGTAAATGTCTGCATCATAATTTAACGCATTCTTATGTGACCAGGAGCTGATTTAGATAAATAATCGAACGTCGTGGAACAAGATAATTATAGTATGAATATGTCATTCCGCCTTTATGGTCAACCAGATTCCTGTTGTTGTATCATTTAACACAAGACAAAGACCCGTATGTTCTTATTGCAAATATGAGACGTTGAGACAATACGTCATCAATTATTGTGTGATTTAATATTAGCATCCATTTTCCTCTTTAAATCAAACAAAATGTCCCTAGGGCACTTTTGAAGACGAGAAAGGCTTAGACAAAATGTCATTTGTATATTCAGTGTGTATAACATGTATATATTAACGACAGTGTGTATAACATGTGTATATTAACGACAGTGTGTATAACATGTATATATTAACGACAGTGTGTATAACATGAATATATTTATTAACGAATTATCAATTTGTTTTTATATCAGCGTTATTCTTTTAAACCAAACATCGCTTAAACATTGAACAAATAGATACTTTACTTAGAAAAACAAGAGAACATCGAGTGTAAAAATAACCTTTCTTCGAACGGAAATCTCAAAATCTAGGGGGAAAAAAAGCACAAAGAAAAAGATTGACATGCAGGTCTTTGATAGACATATAAGACCAGACGTTCAAAAAGGGCGGTACGTTTGGCTTCATCAATGACCCCAGCCATGTTAATCTAGACAACATTCAATGTCATGTCCACAAAGTACGAACAGTACTAGTAACGACGAAAACAACAAGGCATTTTGATACTATAATACATGAGCCTTATAGGTCACAAGGACATCTACTACTCCCCAGTGAGATCTTGATGACGATATGAAACTTGCCATTAGTCTATTAATTTATGAAGATACGGCAGTCTGTTGCATATAAAACAGCTCAGTCAATATATATCACTACGTACGATAGTCGAGCCGTGAAAAGATGTACCTAGTAAGTTGAGTTCCGGTTGCGCGCGCAATGGAGACGGTCGTACCATAATCGCTCTGTATGAGTTAAAAAAGAATCTATCAATATCTACGGCATCCTTGTATTTATAAAGCCAAATTTATATTATAAACGTCGGGTAAATATACATTTCGTAATAATGCACGAATAGACCTCTTCAAGTGACACAGGGTTTCTGGTTGGTGAAACGAAAATGGCGGCCAGTTTGAAAATTCAACGAGTTCTCTGAAGGTGATGTGGGTGCAGCTGTCGAAAACTGTGAGTAGAAACCCTTTTCTAACTTATCAATGAGTGTGACAATGATAAGTAAGGCACTTGACAGTATTTGCGACACTGAGGAGGAACATAGCAGCAGAAAGGCAATCCTAGTTTTGGACAGTAAGGGGTTTACCATGAGGAATTATTTCCCTAATGGTGGACGTTTCCCGTTTGAACTCTGGTGTATGTCAGGTGCAAGAACATCTAGCCTTGTTGACTTAATAATACAGCGTATTGATAAGGCAATTAAGAGACATAAACTCATTTCCTTATACCTATGGAGCGGGACCTGCGACATCGGTGAAAAAGTAGGAAGAAATATCGTAGTGAGGACACCGGACAGTGATGACACAATAAACGAAATAATCTACCACTTTAATAGAGCCATCGAATGCGTTAACAAAAGTCATGGAAGAGCCACAATTAAGCTTTTAGAGTGCCCAACGTTCAGTACCACAAACTGGAATAAACACAAAGGTCTTCCCAATACCCATGATTCGAAAGAGCAGGACAAAGATATTTCACGTCAATGTAAGCTACCGAACGACAGGATAACTGCGCTGAATACAGAAAACAACCAGTCAACCTTAAAACTAACCAACAATATTCTGCGTTGTCGTAAACAGAAAGGAAAATTGCCACGGTACTCCTAAAACTTCAGCTTATTGAAAGACGGAATCCACCCGGGGAAAGACCTTATTGAAGTGTGGACTAAATTGTTAGTGAGAGATGCACACCAAATCAAGGAGGTTCAACCCCATGGGGATGTTCTGATGTTGACAGTGGACACCGACGACGAGGACTGCCTATTATAATCAACTTACAAGCGATCAGTAGTAGATGTGATTATCTCATCACTACACGATAACTTGTATCCAACATATTAGCTGGCCATCTTCATGTTGATCGGACATTAAACACTACTTCATCTCCTTCAGCAATGTCGGTTTAAGTAATATAAGTTAATAGTAGTAGGTGGGATTATCTCATCACTCACCATAACTTGTATTGTATACACTAACCAACTGCTAACTCAGTCACACCGTTCCGCCACATTTATTTAAAACTAAGTAGTAGGTGGGATTATCTCATCACTGCTGCACAACTAATAAATAATGGCCGACGGGAGTAACTTCTCGTTCATAAATTGCAGCAAGAGACCACGAGATAAAACGTCCATGGAAATGTGCGGAAAGTGTGAAGCAAAATTAGAAGCCACATCAAACCATATACCCTGCAGCGGATGTAAGCTACAATTCTGCCAAAAATGTACCGGTATATCAGACACGGTATACGCCTGTATCCAGAATGGAGAATTAGCCAATATGTCATGTGCACACACATGAAACCAACTCTAGATAATATCAACACTACTCTGAGGCAACTATGGGAATCCAACGAACAAAGAATCACGGGTGTTAAATCAAGACTTACGGACTTGGAACTAAATACAAGAAAGCAGATATTCGACGTCATGTCAAGTTAAAAAAAAGAAATACTTGATGAAATAAGGCAAGACGTTAACAGCCTAGTTGACAAAAGAACCAAAGAGCTAGAGGATCGCAAGGCTAGAGAACTGAACATTATACTGTTACTATTCCAATGTCGATGTACTAACTTTATCAAAAAAGTCTGAATTGAAGCAATACATAGCTGAGGAAAATCCAGATCTAATCTGCCTAACGGAAATAAACCCCAAGTCAGCATCACTACTGATAGACGAACAGATATTCCAACTAGACAACTATAACGCCTTCTTCGGTAAACATACAAAAACGTGGAGTAGTCATACATACAGCATCGCACCTCAGTGCTGACGAAGTACAGATCGACTGCGACAGCGAGGAATACATTCTGAGTAAAATCACGTTAAATCAGCATGACAGCCTGACCATAGGCTGCATCTACAGAAACCCCAACAGCAATGACCAACTCAATGCAAAACTCCTGAGCCTACTAGATAAAATATCAGCAATAATGCGTCACATTTACTACTGGTAGGAGACTTCAATCTAAAAGAAATCAACTGGGATACATACAATTCGCGTACAAACAAAAACCACATTGCCTCCACGTTCATCGAAAAAATACGTGATTGTTTTCTATCACAACACGTTAACCAACTAACACGGTACAGAGATGGACAAAACCCGTCGCTACAAGATCTTGTATTAACCAACGAAAACGATATGATAGATGGAATTAACTACCTACCAGGGTTAGGCAAGAGCGATCACATTGTATTGACCTTTGAATTCACTTGCTATTCCAAGCCTAAAGCTAACAAAACGAACAAGCTCTGCTACCACAAAGGGAACTACGACAACATCAGAGAAGACCTGGGAGAAATGGATATAACCGAGCTAAAGTCAATGAACGCTGTAGTAGAAACTTGGAACTACCTTGCTGAAAAACTATTCACCACAATGGAAAAAAATATACCAGTGAGCAAGATAGGACCAGGCATGATTACTAAAAAGCCCTACATAGACAACAACTCGTTAGAAGCCATTCAAAATAAACACCGAGCATGGACAAAGTACCTGCACTGCAAAACTGCTGAAAACTACGAGGAAGTTAAAAACGCCAGACATAGAACAGCAAAAGCATTGAAAAAGTCAATGAAAAACTACGAAAAAGGATTAGCCGACAACATAATAGCCAACCCCAAGGCATTCTGGAAATACGTAAACTCCAAAACAAAGACACAAAGTACAATCAACAAAGTGACAAAAACTGATGGAACACTAACAACAAATGATAAGGAAACAGCAGAAACCCTCAACAACTACTTCGCTAGTGTATTTGTCATTGACGGCAACACCAACATACCAAATCTAACCCCAAGGACATATGAAGAAGTGCTGGACAACATTATAATATCGCCCGAGCTCGTTAAGAAGGCAATCAAGCGGCTAAACCGAAATAAATCGGCAGGACCGGACAATATCCATCCTAGGGTGTTAGTAAACACAATCGATGAGATTGCAGAACCACTCATGTAATCTTTAACAGATCTCTCGAAGAAGGAGCTCTGCCTGAATGCTTGACAAAAAGCACATGCGACACCAAACTTCAAAAAAGGATCTAAAAAGAACCCAAGTAACTACCGACCCATAAGCCTAACATCTGTACCATGCAAAATCATGCAGCGAATTGTACGAGATAGCATACTACATCATCTAGACCATAACAATCTTGTAACAGACAGTCAGCACGGATTCAGGGCGGGACGTTCCTGCACAACACAACTGTTGGAATCAATAGAGGATTGGACGTAAATCATGGACTCCGGACACAATGCAGACGTCATATACCTAGATTTCGCTAAAGCGTTTGATAAGGTTTCACACCGTCTCCTACTATACAAGCTGGAACTATATGGAGTGAAGGGAAGTGTGCTAAATTGGATAAGGGCCTATCTATCAAACTTGACACAGAAGGTAGAAATTAATGGAGGGCACTCCAACCCCCAACCAGTCCGCAGCGGAGTACCCCAGGGGAGTGTACTGGGTCCGCTGCTGTTCCTAATATACGTAAACGACATGCCAGAAGTAGTCAACTGCATTATTAAGATGTTTGCTGATGACACCAAGTTATACCAAAATATATCCAAACTGGAAGACACAGCACAACTGCAAAACAGCATTGACAAAATATGTCAATGGACAGAAAATTGGTTAATGGAGCTCAACATCGATAAATGTAAACACATGGAGATAGGGAACAAAGCGAAAACATCAACCTATGAGATAACCAATAAAGGGGAAGAAACCAATATTACCAAAGTTACAACAGAAAAAGACCTAGGAGTTACGATCGACAGTACTCTCAAATTCAGCGATTATACCAACATTTCTGTGTCAAAAGCCACCAGAATACTCGCAATAATTTGCAGGACCATCACCCTTAAAGATACCAATACATTTGTTGCCCTTTACAAGACACTGGTAAGACCGCATATAGAGCATAGCTCCACCGTTTGGTCCCCGATGCTGTTGAAAGACAAAATTGCCATTGAAAACGTACAGCGTCGAGCCACGAAAAGAATCCCGCAACTTAAGGACATGTCGTACACCAACAGATTATGGAAATCGGGACTACCAACACTAGAATACAGAAGGGAACGTGCAGATATGGTAGAACTATACAAAATGCTGAACGGGATTGACATTGTCAAACGGCCCGACATGTTTGCACCACCGGAAGTAAACCCCACAAGGGGGCATTCTAACAAGCTCTACAAAAAAGCATTCCGATTAAACATCAGCAAAAATGTCTTCAGCAACAGAGTTGTCAACACATGGAACAACCTTAAAGAGGAAGTAGTTTCCGCAGAAAACATCAATACGTTCACGCATCGACTGAACAAGCACTTGAATACTCATCCCAGGAAATTCAGTGCTTCCTTTTATTAAACAGTTAACATTACGTGTACATAAACTGTAAAGAAACTTTACATATTAAGCATGTGCGCAACCGGAAGTGAAGGCGTTTAAAGTTAACGCGAATAAAGCAAAAAGAAGAGGCATCGCAACAATCTCTATCGAGATTTCCAATGATGGAAGATTACTATGATTGTTGAAGTGTGGTGGCGTGTCCGGCTCCACACTGACCACGAGAGTAGCTGATTCCGTGGACACACCGTCCGAACAGGTCACCACCAACGTGAAGTAGGACATCACAGTATACGACAGGTTCGGGTTAGATATAACACTGATCTCGAATTCTGAACAGTGGAGAAATATTATTAGAAATTGCTACTATAGTAAGTTATATTTTCTTTCGTGCTTTATACATGCGATATACATTCTTTATACATGCTTTATACATGAGATCTACATGCTTTATACATGCTTTATACAGGCGATCTACATGCTTTATACATGCGATCTACATGCAATCTACATGCTTTATACATGCGATCTACATGCTTTACACATGCTTTATACATGCGATATACATGCTTTATACATGCGATAAACATGCGATATACTTGCTTTATACATGCGATATACATGCTTTATACATGCGATCTACATGCTTTATACATGCTTTAAACATGCGATCTACATGCAAGCTACATGCTTTATACATGCGATCTACATGCGATCTACATGCTTTATACATGCTTTGTACATGCGATCTTTATTCTTTATGCATGCGATCTACATGCGATCTACATGCTTTATACATGCTTTATACATGCGATCTACATGAAAAATGTTTTATACATGCGATATACATGAGATCTACATGCTTTATACATGCTTTATACATGCGATCTACATGCTTTATACATATGCACATGCGATTAAGAATCATCTCCCTTAGTACAGTCTTCTAAAAAAAAAATCGCGCTGAAAAAGAACTGAACTGAAAGTTTTCTTCCGGAAACAGACTAAATCCTAAGTTAGTTATTTGTAAAATTGAATAAATGATTATATTAGTACCTTTGTGTATATTAACGCGATCGGGTGGTACAGTGGAAGGTGCACTCGCTTTTCACCAGGGTGGCATGTAGTTCGATTGTTGGACGGAACAAAGGCATTTGGTTACCTGTCCGCGATCGCGTGAGTTTTCTTTTCCGGGTACACTAGCTTCCTCTAGCCTTTAGACCCCCTGTGTATTACAATCCATACAAGCACGACTAGTGTAGGATAAACTTCCTCGAAATTCCGTGGACACACCGTCCGAACAGGTCACCACCAACGTGAAGGAGGACGTCACAGTATACGACAGGTTCGGGTTAGATATAACACTGATCTCGAACTCTGAACAGTGGAGAAATATTATGAGAAATTGCTACTATAGTAAGTTATATTTTCTTTCGTGCTTTATACATGCGATATACATGCTTTATACATGCTTTATATATGAGATCTATATGCTTTATACATGCTTTATAAATGCTTTATACATGCGATATACATGAGATCTACATGCGATCTACATGCTTTATACATGCGATCTACATGCTTTACACATGCTTTATACATGCGATATACATGCTTTATACATGCGATATCATGCTTTATACATGCGATGTACATGCTTTATACATGCTTTATACATGCTTAATACATGCTTTATACATGCGATCTTTATGCTTTATACATGCGATCTACATGCGATCTACATGTTTTATACATGCTTTATACATGCGATCTACATGCTTTATACATGCTTTATAAATGCTTTATACATGCGATATACATGAGATCTACATGCTTTGTACATGCTTTATACATGCGATCTACATGCTTTATACATGTTTTATACATGCTTTATACATATGCACATGCGATTAAGAATCATCTCCCTTAGTACAGTCTTCTAAAAAGTCGCGCTGAAAAAGAACTGAACTGAAAGTTTTCTTCCGGAAACAGACTAAATCCTAAGTAAGTTATTTGTAAAATTAAATAAATGATTATATGAGTACCTTTGTGTATATTTACGCGATCGGGTGGTACAGTGGAAGGTGCACTCGCTTTTCACCAGGGTGGCATGTAGTTCGATTCCCTGGTCGGAACAAAGGCATTTGGTTACCTGTCCGCGATCGCGTGAGTTTTCTTTTCCGGGTACACCAGTTTCCTCTAGCCTTCAGACCCCTGTGCATTACAATCCATACAAGCACGACTAGTGTAGGATAAACTTCCTCGAAATTCCAGTGATAACGCTCACTTACCTCCTCTACACAATATAGTATGGCTTAGTGTGGTCCACCTTGTGCAGGATACAAGAAAACTAGTTTGATGTTTTTCTGCTTGAACTTATGGAGTATATCCTGTTAACTTTTTTCTTGTACAAAATCATCTATTGACAAAAACACACGGATTTTGTACTCTTCGGCGCTGTTTTTCTCCATTGCCAACTCTACATTCCAAACTTTTTTCTTTCATATTTCATGAACACTTACCTAGGGTGTATTCGTTTTCACCTATCAGTTTATAAGCAGAACCTTCCGGACGCCATACTTGAAGTTCGATCGGTCCGTTGTTCCCGGCATGCACCTCCCACGAACTTATAACTCCGCAACAACCGAAACTTGTGTCATCCATGAACCCGACTCCTGAATGTCACATCAGAGAAAATCATAAATTCAAACCGCATGCAGTAAATATTTCAAGAGGAAGTGCATTTATTTTCAACAGCATTCTGTGAAGGTCTGTGTTTGTTGGTTTCCAATATTTTAGGGTTTGAGTAAATTATCTATTTTGCAGAGTCAATTTTTCGTGAATTTCTGTTTTGATGTCCATTGAACAAAGCGCTTAGCTAAACATGAATATATTTCATACAATCTGCAGTAAAAGAAACACTGTTTTCCCCGAAACCTGTAAAAATTATAATCCAGCGTAAAATACATTTTTGCAGTAATCGTTTCATGATTTCAACCTTCAGACTAATGACTGTGAGGATTTGCCCACGTCAATGACCAGATACCCTAATGATAAGACTTAGGAATTTGTGCAGTGATCTAAATGATGATTTACATAAAGCTAGCTAAATTTCCTCACCTGAATTCACAAATGCAAATGTCGTACTTTCCACTATTTTCTTTATTCTTTTTCAACAAATATCTAGAACAAAGACAATTTCACCATCTGAGTTTGTCTAAGACCCTGTGTAAGTAATTGAACAAGGAACGTTGGAATACTCTCGCATACACAGCAAATATATCTTAAACACAGAAGGTTACAATGATTTAACGTTTTCTCGATTATTTTTAATCATTACAATCAAAACTCGACCTTCCCTACCTAACCTGGGGACTGTACTTATGACAATGGAACTTCATGCGTTGATTCATTCTGACAGGGCAAAAGTGATATCACAATAGACAATAGCCATTGGTTATTTTTATCTTTGACACCAAACCATGCTTTCTGATAGGTAGGTTTGTGTGAAAGTTGTAATCAAAAACAAAGATGTAACTGTCACAATCGAAAAATGTAAACATTATTCTCACTGTGAAATGTAAAATCCAATGCTACAATGAAATAAA